CTGGGGGGTGAATGGAAGAAAAAGGAGCAAGACTGTGAAGCAAAGTAAGCAGAAAGCATCAACAAGACCGAAGCTTGGAAGAACTCGGANAGTAATCGAGGTTGATTGAGTAATCGATCAGGTAGGAAACAGAAAGTGAAAGATTCAGAATCAAAGGTTTAGGAATCAGAATTGAAAGTAAGGCTTCTCTCTGTTCTTGATTTCTGGCTCTGTTGTTGTACTATTAGTTGTAGTAGTTTCGTCATCCTTTTAGATCTTTGTAGTGTTAGCGTAAAATTGCTTGCTTCGGCTGTCTCCATGGAGGTTGCGTTATGTTTTTAAATGTTCTGTAGATCGGTCTGAGCGATTCAGGGTTAAGTTTAGAAGCAATGGTTGTAATGTGTAATTGTTTTGTTGCCTCTTTTTTTGGATTAATGTAGTTTTCAGAAAGACGTGGAGAATCGTTTTCATTAGTAAGAATTTTGATCAAGAAAATAAAAGGAATCTGAGTCTCTCGTTTTATGGACTTACTATATACTCTTGTTACGATTCTTACTCATCTGACTACTTGTCAAAATCCATCTGAGTATTTCACTACGTTTTTCTTTCTTTCAAAGATTAGTTAATTGAGTACTTTCTGGTATATAATATAAATCTTTTGTTGTTGAAATGTTATAAAAGAAGCCAGTAATATAAATGTACGGGTCTTCTTCGTTCAATGGCGTGTGGAATACTACATCTCTCAATGGTGGTATGGGTTGGCTCTTCCGTGATGATGCGGATTCTTTGTTAGAAGCTTCTTCAAGCTCCCGGCAGTATGTTCTAACAGCGTTAGCCGTGGAAGCTTGGAATATCTGTTTAGCTGTAGCCCCTAGTGATCGAGAGAGGTTACATCCGAATCTAGATAATATCCGACTGCTTCTTCGCAATGAATTTGATGGTTTACTTTTCTTTTTTTTTTTCTGGTTAACAAATACTTCATTCAATCATTTCCTCAAGGAGGTACATTCTTCCAAACTTGTACTGCTCCTTTTGCGAGGGAATCAGCAAATACATTGTTTGATCTAGGCACATAGCGAAATTCAATCAACGAAAACAGAGGAGAGTAAGTTTTAATGTCTTGTAGTATCCCGGAGATTTCCTTGATTGGAATTGGAGGAGGTAATAGAATTGATAAGTATCTGTGAATCGGAGTGCATAATGATCCGCGCAATATACCTTTCTCGCTTGCCTTAATAATAGCAAAGCGCATTGCAAGAGCTTCAGCCATAAGTGGTGAGACAATGTACTGCTCCGCTCGAGAGCCTTGACCACCAAACTAGTGTTCGCATTGGGGGCCTCCTTGCGGTGAAAGATCCATCCCAACCCGGCAACTAGACTCCTTTCATCCCATGCACCATCGGTGTGTCCGAGTATGGGTATCGTTGGGGAGTATACTGAGCAAGCATGCTGTTTCTGATCTTAGACGTAACTCCCTTCCCCTCTTCTTCTTGCATTGCCATCTGCCATTCTCGAGCCTCACGCATCCCTTTAGTGGGTTTATCTTGCTCCGTTAGCGCTCTGTTCTAAAAAATGGCGCTGTTTCGAGAGTACCACAGTTGATGGTTTTACTTGAAGACATTCTTTCTAAGGTTTTGTCTTTCTCTGTTTCATTATGTTTTACGTTTATCCAAATTGAGAAACCGACTCTTTGGCTAAGAACGCACTTTTTTTTTACGCTTGAAAAATGAAAATGTTGTTGCTCTTTGTTGAGCTTGTAAAAAGGTTAACATCGTGTAAATTCGTGGTTAACGAGTTCATGAAAAAATTTATGTTTTCAAAAAAAAATGTCTGATTTTTTTGGCCAAAAAAATTATCTATTCACTAAATCTTATTAAATTTACATATGAAATAAAGATTTCTGAACTAAAAACAATTGTAAAATACAAATAGCACAAAGTATCAAATTAGTTTAAAATTTTCATAAGAATTTGAAAACAATTTTAAAACATCTTCTATTTTACAACGGAAGGAGTATTACAAAAATGCAGAAGTCACTCTCAAGATTATTGTGGATAGTCGAAAATTCGAAATGCTAATTTTTGCTATCGATGGATATATTATAGAAAACATTGAATTATAGAAAACGATTGAAATATGGGAAAAGACGAAAAGTAACCAAAAAATTTACCAGTATAATGGGTTTACCACTAATACAACAATCTGATGCAGCATCAGGCTGTCAGCTATGATTTTTTTTGAGAAATTTTTAAAAATATCATTTTTCAACTGTTATTTTTTCACATTTTTAAAATCTTTGCAAAAATGCCACTTTAAACAAAAAAATCATTATATCATTTATGTTTGGATTAACTATGTTGTATTAGAGTTTATTTTTGAAGGTTTAAAGGGGTTTAGAGGTCAAAACATTTTTTAAGGTTTATAATTTTAAGATTTATGCTTTAAAAATCCATAGTTAGTGGCATTTGTGCAAATGAATATCTCTAAGTAGCATTTTTGCAAATGTACACATCAAAAGTGGTATTTTTGCAATTACCCCTGCTTTTTCTGATATATGAATAGTGAGAAAAAAAGGTGAGGTTGGATTCAATTTTTCTTTTTTCTTTTGATTGAAGGATTTTGAAATCAAGTTCAGAGTTCCAGATTGGATTGAACACCCTAATCAGCTTATATCCGAACCAAATTAAATTTTCACAAAAGACCATCTTAATGTATCTAGACGATAA